CAAAGTTCTAGGAAAATTTATTTTGGACATTGTGTTTCAGTGAGTCAGAACTGAAGAGAGTAATTCTGGCTCAGAGTTATTTACAGTGAAGCCAGAGTGCCAAGGTTCCCCCTCCCCTCCCCGCTCCCCATGATGTAGCTCTCCTGCCAGACACCTCCCATCAGATACTGTTTCAATCAAACCAGGGGAAACTACACTGCGCCTTTCAAGAAGCAGGCCAAATACAGAACAGGGGAGAGGCCAGCGAAACGCCGCCTGTGACATCAGAACAACTTCCATAAAACTGCAGTACATTCTGATGCAGAGTTACTAGGTATGGCTGAGCCAACGCAGCCCTTCACCTCAGTGTGGTGCTCCTTCCCCAGCACAGGTGGTGGGCTGCAGGGCCAAGAGGAGGAATCTCGCCCTGAGTGGGACCATCCCCCCCGTGGCCGATCCCTGGGGGCAGCCACAGGACCTCTGCTCAGCTCAGCAAACAGTGAGCGTCTTTCATGACAGATCTCCTCCCGTCCCCCAGGTAAACCCCGCCATCCAAAGCCTAAGCACGCCGCAGACAGTGTGGCGTCATGTCAATGTGACACCAGCGTTTGTAAAACACGGAATGACACAGAATGTGTCATTCAAAACAATGACAAGCTTCGCACCTTACGTACCTGTTTGCTCTAACACTTTGCTTTCAGGAAGACACTATGGAATGGCATGGGAATTGGGCAAGGAAGGTGAAAATTAAGGCACATGAATAAGAGATGTTCAGAAAATTCAGAGGCCTTGCCAAGGGAACAAGCAGGTAGCTGCAGGCCCACGGAAGAAACCCAAGTCAGTTTCCATGACCCACAGGAGGCAGCGTCTGAAGATGGTCCAGCAGCTTCTAGAAAGGAAGCATCAGCCAGAGTAACAAAAAAGGAGGCATCTTGGCATGAACCATGCACAAGAGTCTCCGGTAGTGTTAACTCTAAATAAAATTTGCCATTAGGCCTGGAGCAGGGGCCTATCCTGGCCTCTGAACAGCTCCTACCGCACTTCTCAGCATCCTGCAGCCCAGACCCACTCTGTGCATCTCATCACCTCTCACCATCTCCAAAGACTGCAGAACAGACACTCCTAGTCAGCAACAGCCTTAACAGGCTTCATTTATTTTTCTTCCAGTAAAAACCCAAGCTTCATGTAAGCAGGTTAAAAACACTGTAGTTGTGCAAGGGTCCCTCCTCATTCTAGTCTGCTGGTTCATGTGACTAAGCAATCTCTCCTGGTTAACAATCACATACACGCACAAGCGCCATTTACAGTCACAAAATACACTAAAAGGTGATTTACAAGTGCTTTTCAGTATTCGGTTTCTCAACATCTTTTTGTTTCTCACAGTAAGTCACAGTTTCCATGTTGCTTCTCTCTCTTTGTCTCAAGATGTGAGCAGACACAGATGTTTTTTAGAACTGCAGATGGTGGTGGAAGAGGATCTTTGCCATAGTCTTCAGCTGGTCTAAACAATAGGGAAAAGTACCTATTTTTGGAGAAAGCTCAATTTATTCTTCAGCTGTCAGGACTATTTGGGTTCTTTCCATTTCAGCATTTTTACTCCCACTCATCCCCTCCTCTTCAAAGTCGCAACAAAATTAATTCCACGGGTTTTTATAACAAGAGTCCCCGAGGCGCTGAATAGCAGTAGCAAAGCATGACAAACACCAAAGCAAGCTGGCAGCGTGGAGGGGCCCTCTAGGCGGGTGAGGAATGCTCAGCAACACCACAGCTGCACTACGAGATGCAGTGTGGATTGTCATGGCTGAACGCACTGTCCAGCTCCAAAGACTTCCTTTCGAGCCCGAAGGTCACCGGATGTAGATGGGATGCACCCGTCGCGTGAATTCGCGGGTTAACAAGGTGTATGGGGAGCATGCAGTCATGTCGTGTAGCCCATCTGCAAACAGCAGTGGCTGCTTTTGTACACAAAGTTGGTTTTAGAGCTCCTTTTTAAAGGCTTTAGCTAGCAGAACTGCTGGAGAGTGAAGATCTATCAGTCAGCAACATGACAATGTTACGGTTTTACAACTCATTACGTTGTCTGGGGTAACTTCATATGAATGATGGTGTCATATTAAGATGTAGCCAGCTACGTTGAAATCAGGAACTGCAGGCAATAGCTGACAGACCTCTGAGGAAAAATCAAACACTTTGTCCTGGTTTTGACTGAGACAGAGTTAATTCTCCTCCCAGTAGCTGCTGCGTTTTGGATTTAGCATGAGAAGAATGTTGATAACACTGATGTTTTCAGTTGTTGCTATGAAATCCAGGACTTTCTCCAGTCTCCCACGTTCAGCCCATGAGCAGGTGTGCAGGAGCTGGGAGGGAGCCCAGCCAGGCAGACAGCCCAGGCTGGACAACAGAAATATTCCATACCGTGGACGTCGTGCTCAGTTTATGAATGGGGGTTGGCCGGGGGGCAGGATTGCTCTTTTCCCGGAGTTCGGCTCGTTTGAGACAGGATCTGAAGTGCCATCCTCTTGAAATGAGTCAGACTTACATTTAATACCTCAGCCTGAAACATGAGAAAGGAACTGAACTCTAGGAAGAAATCCCACAAAGTTCTAAGATGACAGTATTAAAAATAGATTGTGCTGTCTAGCCATAGAAGAACTGAGTCCTAACACATGTTCATGTAAGCGGTTTCACTTATTCAGATACTGAAAACAAATCTGCACTTTTCACATAGTGATCCTCAGAGACTAAACAAAATGTATGTTTTTCCATTCAATTAAAAAAAAAAGAAACTTAGAAGTTCAGGGTTATGAAAAGCCAAGTATTTTGCAGATCAAAGAACACACTTAAAACCCAGATCTTGCAATACAGTGGACAGATAGGCCTGTAGCTTCAATTAAGGTGAGGATACTCTGCTGGCCCACTCAGTCCCTGGACTACAGCCCGAGTTTCCACACTCTTTTAGTTTTTCTGTCAAATATTTGTGTATGGACACTAATCCTCATGGAACTTCTTCCAGGAATTCATTTCATGGTCAGACAGAGCTCCATTGATCAACACTGGCCTGTGATATAAAAACGTGTAGTTCTCTATTCCCTTAAAGGCTCCTCTATTCAAAACAAGAATTAAAGTGCTTAACTTTTAATACTCAAAGCCTTTCAGATCCTAGTTTGGATTTTGCAGCAGGTTATTTTACTTCTAACATTCAAATGAAAAAGCCTGAAAAAGCTGGAGAGCAGCTCTGCGGAGAGGGACCTGGGTGTCCTGGTGGACGACAGGTTAACCATGAGCCAGCAGTGTGCCCTTGTTGCCAAGAAGGCCAATGGGATTCTGGGGTGCATTAGGAGGAGTGTGGCCAGCAGGTCGAGGGAGGTTCTCCTTCCCCTCTACACTGCCCTAGTGAGGCCTCATCTGGAGTACTCTGTCCAGTTCTGGGCTCCCCAGTTCAAGAAAGATGAGGAGCTACTGGAAAGAGTCCAGCGGAGGGCTACAAGGATGGTGAGGGGACTGGAACATCTCCCCTATGAGGAGAGGCTGAGGAAGCTGGGCTTGTTCAGCCTGAAGAAGAGAAGGCTGTGAGGGGACCTAAGATATAATTACAAATATCTGAAGGGTGGGTGTCAGGAGGACGGGGCCAAGCTCTTTTCAGTAGTGCCCAGCGACAGGACAAAGGGCAGTGGGCACAAACTGAAGCACAGGAAGTTCCATCTGAAACTAGATGACCCACAGAGGTCCCTTCCAACCCCTACCATTCTGTGATTCTGTGACATATCAATTCCATTGGCAAAGTTCATTTACAGGATCCTGTGAGGAAAAACTCCCACTCAAAATCAAGTGGACACCAAATTTCGTATGAAATTCTATTGCAGGGTACTCCCCTTGTGAAAAAAAGATACTGCATATCTTCAGATGGTGTCCTGGGACTCCACAATCATATTTACGTACATTGTACATACCAATCGTCACTTCCTTTATCAATCGTACTCTTCACAATTCAGACAGATTTTTTTTTTATTTATTTAATTAAATAACCAGGACTTTTATTTTAGGTATTCAGAATTCTGATAATAACATCTCCTTTCTAATGATTAACAGCTATGGCCAAAACCCCACTAATGAATTTTATGGCTATCTGTTGAAAAGCCATTGCGTATAATATCACTCCAACGCAGCTGAAGCCTTGTAAAAAGCTTCCTGGTTTTAACTTATATTTGAAATCATCAGGACTGTCTTCTCCATCTATCACCAAAAACATATCCAGTTTTAACTTCAAAAAAACCCAACAGAAAATTATATATTGCTTAGTTTTACTTCTAAAAGCTAACTAGCTCATTGTTTCAAAAACACTTGGCTCTTTGCCTCCTTGCTGAGAGAGACTTGCTAGAAAAATAAAGACCTTATCCATCCAGGAATACAAAATGGAACAACATTAGCTCAGAAATAATAAATAACAATAATAAAGTATACTACTCTAACAATAGTATATTCTTTATATTAACTTCAGGTATGTTTTCACAGAACAGAAACCAATACGTAGCTACTTACAAACCATTCTCTTCCTACACATCATCTTCATCATTAATTCAAAAAGTTTCAATTTCAATAGCAAAAGTTTGAAGAACATCTTAACTGTGCTTAGGGAACACTATTTACCAAAAGCAAATTCCAATTTAAAACAAAACAAACCCCAAACAACCCCAGACACAGAATTAGTCCAGTATAACCTAGAAAAATTAACTGTACTTCTGGTTACTGACAAATCAGCAAAATACAAGAAACCTCCTTTTTATTTAAAACTACCACTGAGAAAAAGTAGGTTCTTTGGAGAATGAGGCTACTATGAAAGATTTAAAAAAAAATCACGCACTTCAAATATGTTACACTGTACACAGGTTTTAAGAAGCAAAGTTCTTGAGCATCAGTGCTTTGCAGGTTCTCATCTTCCACAATTTCTGAAGTCTTGAAAGCCAGATGTTCCAGAAAGGCGTGCAAAAACATTGTATATATTTTACATATATCTCTATAGATCACTGTTCATCCATCCTTCCAAGTCGTCGCCGCCGCCTACAGAAAGCCTTTAAGTTCCATTTGTTTGACTCCAACATAAAAGGTCCATTGTAGACAAACAACACCGTCATCTTGTCATTGTAAGTGAGATTCTGCAGGAGCTGGCAAAAAAACCAAAACCCCAAGTCAAAACAGCTAGAAGAGAGGTTCCCCATTATCTAAAAAAGGTGAAGAAGGTCTAAGTAAAGCCTTAGATCTCAAAAGGTCAATATAGCAGGACTATAGCCTTTCTGAGAGACGATGTGTATTTGTTCCTGGAACCCCCCAAAAAGAATCCACTCATTCTTCAGGCAATTTCCACGCTTCACTATTCTTACTACAGGAAAATCTTCATATCTAATCTGTACCTTCTTGCTGCAAATATGGTCATTACTTTTTTGCCGTATCCACAATGGGCAAAGAACATTGGCTGTTTTTCCTTTTTTTGCCACGGCAAGGCAACAGGTCGAGTTACTCAGGCACAATCATTATGTCTCTCTTCAGCCTCATGATCCTCCAAGGCAAGCCATTTCCATTAGTGGAAACTCTGAACTCTCAAAACTTCTTAAAAGTTGCCCTGCTGTCTTCTGGAGTAATCCCAGCCACTGTGCTACTTTTCTGAAGTGTAACAGCCCAAGCTGGACACTTACTGTCGTCCACATCTTGTCAGGCACAAGCCCGGCAGGCTGGTATAATGCAAGCTGTAGGGTTATCTGCAGTGCTCAGGGTGACTTTTAGCAATTTACTTGCAACTGATGCTCACTGTAACTGTAATAATCCACTATAACTTCTCTCTCCCCAGTCATTTAGACATTTATGCCTTAGACCACGTGCTGTTGTTGATTTTACCCACTTAAATACCAAGTCCTATGCTCGTCTGTGCTGAAATGCATCCTGTTTTCAAACAAAGTTACCTATCTAAGATTGGTTTGAATTCTGACCTTGCTCTACAGCAAGGAAGCATTCACTCCTAACATGATGATTATTTGCATATTTAATAAATGTAATCTGTTTCAGCATAGACTGATATTAAAAACACTGATTTTCGAACAGAAGACTCACTCCTAAGGACTGCATTCATTTCATCTATTCATTCTGACAGTGAATCACAACTATTCAGAATATAATTTTCCTAATGAACTCTACTGCATACTAATCTATACCCCTTCCCCCCTGTAGCTTCCTTAAAAATACAGCTGGGGAAAATGTCATCATAATGAAAAAAACCACGGTAACAGTTTTTCCTGCATCCACTGGATACATATGCAGAATTTAGCTTAGTATGACAATTTGTCATACTTTCTAGTATGTGATTACATACTTGCTTTCTAGTAAGTGACGACATACAGTGTAGGCTCAGGAACTGCAGGTAAGCCACTGGAACAGCAGTCTGCTTTCTCCTCAGCCTGCTCTGTACAGCCTTTTAATTAACCCCTGATGCAGCCCACTCAAACTATCTCATAGACTAAAACCTTTACATGAATTACTATCTCAATAACGTTCTTTGTGGCAGGCCACAACAACTTCACTATGTTAACTGTCGTGATCACCTACTTGCAGTTGATTGAGAAAGGAAAGAAGAAGGAAATACCTTCAGCCACCTCTTGGTAACTCCATCTCTTGCTGCTTTGTAGTGGTGCAACACGTTCCTTGATCCTCCTCTTAACCATAAAGTGAAATGCACTTTTTTTTTTTAAGCTTCTGAAATTTCTTACTTCTGCTTTCTCATTTTTACACTGATCTTTCTGGTTAGCTCTGGGCACTCAGTATTCCCCCTTCTCTATTCTTAGTAATTTGACAACAAGCACAACTTCTGAAACAGACTCTGAACCCTAGACAGTAATTTTCTACAGTCCCTTATACGTGGGAGGCATTATAGTTAGTAGAGCTATCTCTGCCCTTTCAACATCCAAACCACTCTCTTATTTCTCAAAGTAGAAGAGAACCCAGAAAAGCAGATCCAATAAGGAGAGAAATCGCAAGACAAAAGGGGTAGATAACACACAGAGTAAGAAAGAAGTAATGTGAACAGCAAACAACCAAACTGTGTGGAGGTAAGTATGCTGTAAGATCAGAAGGAACAACAAGCATCACCTTCCTCCTACTTTCCGTCAGGTAAATGCTGTGAGTGGCTTTTCTCAGGTCCTGCAACTGCTATTTACAGAAAGAATAGCACATACCAGCCAGATTTTCTAAAATACAGTGACGTACAGGGCGCAGGAGAACTGATAACTCAGTACAAGGTGTCCAGCCCATTACTGAATGCTTGCTCCCTTGGTGTACAAGTAACCTTTACTGGTCCAATCTGTCTTGGATCCCGCTGAACATGACATTAGCCTCTGTCAAAGGTGCAGGTGAACAGCCACCCTACTTACTAATCCTTTCAAACCACAGCATCACACCACCGCATCACCCCGTAAGTCAGCTACCATTTTTCTCTTTTTTTAACAGAAGAGCACAATTAAGCACTGGTCATTCTTGACTGAAAAGTCCTTTTCAAGCTACTCTCCATGGAGCATAGCAATGACCTTTTCTGAGCTTCTAAGTCTCAGATTATTACTTCAACAGTTTCTCTCCATTAATGTGGGATTCTTCTAGTTATTCCAATGTCATCAGCACTAGCCTGTTCCAGTATCATCATCTGACTTGTCTGGAAGTTGGTCTCTGCTAAAATCCCAATTTCCTATGAGCTACAGGCATTACACTTGACAGCCTTGTTACAAGGCACCTCTATCTACTGGTGGTTAACTTGTGATACTTCCACAGAGGCCACAATTCCAGAATGTGTTTATGATGAGATGAGCCGTGGTTGCCTGAACTCCTGCCAGGACTGTCCTTAAAATGGACAAGTTCTCTCATAGTTACCTTTAAATATGAAGTTCTTAGGTACACAGAAATAAGTTATACAGTGTTTACAGGGATATTCTCACGCAAAACTCAACTCTCCTACACATTAACCTTTCAATTTAATTTTCTGCCACGTACCTTTGGCGTAATAAAGAAGTACTGAGACGTGCTCTCTTTACAAGCAGTTTTCACAACCATTTCAAAAACTCTTCTCTCATTCATTGGATCCATTCCCTAAAAGAAAGCAGAAAAAAAGTCTGTTCTCCCCACTGTCACAAGCATCTGTATATTACGAGGTTATATACTTTACTGTCGATCCTCACCTGATTTATTTCATCAACAACCCTGAAAGGACATCTGTTGAGTTCCTGTAGAGCCATCAGGTACAACATAGTGGAAACACTTTTCTCACCTCCACTCTGATGATATGGAGTCAATTCATGAAGTTCAGTGCTGCTGTGGAACTTGACTCTAATGCGAATCCCGTACTTGTCATAATCCTCCTATAAAAGCGGATTTAACAGGTATATATTTACCTGTTAAATTAAGTTTCTCTGCATTACAGCTTATTTGATAATGACATGCAAATTAAAGGAAATTTATGTCAAATGTTTTACAGGGGTCTATGAACTGAGGTTCAACTTAATATCAATATATTCATTCTGTTTCATGTATTTTCTTTAACTCTGACCTATTCTTAATAGATGGAGAATTTTCAATACCACTCCCTCCCCATGACAATGATTTGTTAACTTCTGAATGCCTAGTAAGAAAGACTTCACATATATTAAGAATAGTGACAAGAAAAAAATTCTTGGCTAGAAAAAGGAGAAAGCGATACGCCTATAAATTCCATTTATCAGAAAAAAATGCATTAGGGTACATGATGCTATCAACCTGAATAGCGGGGTGATGGGGAGGGGTGTAGGTTAAGATCCCATCTGACTCTTGCACTCTTCAAGTGCAAGAGGTCTAATTAAATCCTGCACTTTACCTCCACTAGCAGACTGAGATACAAAGCCCCTACAAAATCCACCATGACAGCAATTTCCCTTTCACACTCAGTCAGAAAAACCACACATACAAGGATTCCGACCCTGGCCTTTTCTTTTAAGAGAAAACTGACACTTGTCAGCAGTCTGAGTCAATGATGTATAGGTATGGGGATAACAGATGAGGTTCAAAAGAAGGTCCATGCAAGGAAACACATTCATGGTTCAAGGAAAAAAATAAATCTTTGGAGTACTTGCTAATATTTCTGAAGTTCAGGTAACCTCAGTGCAGGAACGGGAATGCAATCCCCGGTGCAGAAAGCCCATACCATACCATTTAGCCTACATAGGACAGAATCTTTATGTGCGCCCATCAAGTTAACGAGAGCTACAGGGGAGATTCAAAAGTTTCAGGAATACAAGTTCCAAAAGGTCTATCCATATTCACTGTGGAAGTGTAAATCGTGCACTTGGAGGTCATCAACTCACATTCTCCTACCCTAAGCATTACAATTGTGTTATCAGAAGAAAGGAGTGGAGGTGATTCCTAATGGTTACTCACAGAACATGTCTAGATTTAGAAAGGACAGTTGTGACAAAGAGACAATGAGGAGTCCATCTGTCCCCTGGTTTCAGCTGAGATAGAGTTAATTTTCCTCCCAGTAGCTGTTGTGTTTTGGATTTAGTGTGAGACGAATGTTGGTAACACTGAAGTGTTCAGTTGCTGCTAGGAAATCAAGGATTTTTCCCAGCCTCCCATATCCAGCTAATGAGCAGGGAAGGAGCACAGCCAGGTACACAGCCCAAGCTGGACAATGGAAACATTCCATACCACGGACATTGTGCTCAGTTTACGAACAGAAGTGGTTAGGGGGCAAGAACTCTCCCTTTTCTGTGAGTCTGATCTTTTCCACGAGTGCAAACTTCTTCCATGAGTTCAGTCTTTTTCCACAAGTTCTGTGAAATTTGCAAGCTCTGTGATCCCTGCTCAGGGACTGGCTGTGCAATTGTTCATCAGACAGTGAGAAAAAAATGTATCGTGTATTGCTTCTTTCGCATATTCTATTATTATAATTATCATTATTATTATTACACTTGTCTTATGAAACTGACTTTATCTCAACCCATGAGTTCTGCTTTTTCCCATTCTACTCCACACCCCACTGGGAGCAAGGGGAGGAGTGAGTGAGCAGCTGTGTGATCCTAGCTGCCAGTGACCAGCTGCATGATCCCAGTTGCTGGCTGCCAGGTTAAACCACAACACCATCCCACAGAAGCTGGCATATGCCAGTTTGGTTCAGTTTGCCACACACCAGAGCCATCACAAAGTGTATGAACCTGGGTGACCTGACAGAGCAGAATCCCATTGCAGGGCTAGGTTTTATGAAGCACAAGGTCTAAAAGCCCCCATGAAGTAAGCCACACCATCTTAAAGTCTTAAAATGGCCTTAAGGAACTTTTAGGAGACTGTAGGAGCAATTTTCAGCTTCTTTGCTACCTTCAGGTCTTGCTTTGGCACGAGTAATATATATACCAAATAGCATCTAACATTGGAGAGGATCTATCAAATCCTCTCAGATCAGCTTATCTGCTAAATTAGAATAAACCATCTGTTGGTGTTCCTAGAGTTTTACTACACCTGCAGGCAGACAAACATCCTCAGGTCAGGAAAGCATAAGGTCTTATACTGGTATTTACTTTCAGGTACTACAAATCTCTGGTGCTTCTGGCGTACCAGTATTATAGAAACATGGAACTGCGAATCCTTGAGGCTGAGGCAAATACATACACACTTCAGGAGAGAATAAAGGTGACCTGACATAGTTATAAACTCACGTTTGCTAACTGCCAACTTTTTGCAGTTTTGAAGACAGGTAACCTTTCTCAGCCTCAGGGTTTTCCTGTTGGCAACAGGTTGGCACTTCCAAAGAGAAACTGAAGACCTGCTGTGAGAAGGAGTGCTATATGACCATGACAGACACATTGGAACAAAGCAATGCTTAATGTTACTCTTCGCAAGCTGATTTTGGTTAACACTTCATTCTACACCACTATGGAAGAAATGACTTCTTTGGCATGTAACACAGCTTATCAGAAGAATAATTAGCTTCTCGGATTTGCAGATTGTAGTTTGATAGCCACGCCTGATAATCCGAAACCTAAAGAGGAAAACCATAGGGCACGCTTTCAAAATAGATGAATGTTGCTGCACTGACCTTTCTGGAGATGGTATTTTGCTAAGGGGAGCTAATCAGACATTCTTCTAATCAGTGAAGAGAACAACACTACAGCTTAGATGAACTTTCTCCATTTTAGTAGGATTTGGTAATTGATTGTCAGGATCAATCTCAACAGACCCACAGTCTGGCTTGCTTATGTCCAGCAACATTTAGCATAGTGGAGTGAAAAAATACGCGCAAGTTCACAATTTAGTTCCTGTTTCTTCTCTAACAGATACTTGCAGAGCTTTTGCTATACTCTTTGGAAACGGATGGGGCTGGGAGACATTAAGAGCACCATGACTTCATGTAAGGAGAAATAAAGAACAGGACTGAAGGCCACTAGGCCCACTGTACTTTCAGATGCATTGGCACAGACTGAAGCCAGGCTCCAAGAAGTTTACAAGTGTCCTGGCTTCAGCTAACATAAGAGTTAATTTCCACAGGAAGCTGGGAGGGACACAGCCAGGACCCAAACTAGCCAAATGGGATATTAGATACCATGCTCACTATACAGCTGGTGAAGCTGGTGAGCGGAGGGGAATCAATGGCCTGGCACATCAGACCCACAGGAGTATCAGGCTCTAGTGCACACCAGTGCAGTGTACCCTAATACCATCAAGCTATAAAGGGGCAGAATCCATCTGCATTTCGGGAGTGATGGGTGGATCCCAACAGCTGACTGCATGGGAGGCTGAAGCGACCCTAACTGGGAAGCAGTGGCAGAAGCATCCCATTGTGGCTGGCCCCGAGGCCCCGTGCATCCCTGGCACAGATTGTCTCAGGAGAGGGTATTTCAAGGACCCAAAAGGGTACCAGTGTGCTTTTGGTAGAGCTGCTTTGGAGACGGAGGACATTAAACAGCTGTCTACTGTGCCTGGTCTTCTGAAGGATCCTTCTGTTGTGGGGTAGCTGAGGGCTGAACAACAACGGGTGCCAATCACTACCACAACAGCGCACCGGTGGCAATATCGCACCAACCGAGACTCCCTGAACTCCATCCACAAGCTGATCCGTCACCTGGAAAGCCGAGGAGTGATCAGCAAGACTCACTCACCCTTTAATAGTCCCATATGGCCAGTGACAAAATCTAATGGAGAGTGGAGACTGACAGTAGACTACCATGGCTTGAATGAAGTCACACCACCGCTGAGTGCTGCCATGCCAGACATGCTAGAACTTCAGTATCAGCTGGAGTCAAAGGCAGCCAAGCAGTGTGACACCGCTGACATCGCTAATGCATTCTTCTCCATCCCTTTGGCAGCAGAGTGCAGGCCACAGTTTGCTTCCCCCTGGAGGGGCATCCAGTACACCTGGAATCGACTGCCCCAGGGGTGGAAACACAGTCCTACCATTTGCCATGGACTAATCCAGACTGCACTGGAAAAGGGTGAAGCCCCAGAACATCTGCAGTACCAGAAGTTTTTGAGAAAGGGAAGAAAATGGTTCAGACCCCTCTGAAAGCCAGGTTTGCCACAAAAGGCAAGGGACCTGCACAGGAGATCCAGTTTTTAGGAATAAAATGGCAGGATAGGCATCATCAGATCCAAATGGATAGGATCAGCAAAATAGCAGCTATGAGCAACGACAGGCATTTGAACAAATTAAAACGGGAGATAGTTCATGCCGTAGCCCTTGGGCCAGTCCAGGCAAGACAAGGTATTAAAAACGTGCTCTACACTGCAGCCGGGGAGAATGGCCCAACCTGGAGTCTGTGGCAGAAAGCACCAGGGGAGACTCGAGGTCGACTCCTGGGGTTCTGGAGCCGGGGATACAAAGGATCCGAG